GTCGTACTCGTCGCCGTCGGCGTCATCCTGGTCGTCGTCGTAGTCGTACTCGTCCGGGTCGTAGTCGTGCAGGAAGAAGTTGACGTCGCCGACGATGTGGTCGGCCGAGTCATAGAGGGTGTCGCCGCGGATGAGGGTGGGCAGGGCGGCGGCGTCGGTGGACAGCGGCAGGCAGACGATGAAGGTCAGCTTGTCGCTCGCCGCGCGCCACGAGATCTGATTGGAGTACTCCTCCTCCAGCGAGAGGGGTTCGGAGGCGGTGGCTTCTTGGATGTCCTGGAGATTGGGGGAGCGGGCGGGCGCACAGAGTAAGCGGGGTGGTAAATGCAACGGCAGAACGGTGGCGGGAGGGGGGGAAGGTCAAAAAAGATAAAGGCAAGGGGACTGGACTGGTGAGTGTTACCGGGTCTTGCATCCATCCGTGGTATTTGAGCACATGATGAGGCTCGTACGGGACGAGGAGCACTCTGGGGGTGGATATGGCTGTGTCGATCTCGCGAGTGAGCAGGTGCCGTGCATGTAGGATGGATGGAGGAGAAGCTTGGCAGGCTCAAGGTAGCTGCAGTTGCAAGGGGACGGGTGCGAGGATCGTCGCTCACCGGTATTTGAATTGAGCCTCATGGTAGTCTCTCACGCACGGCGGGCGGGCGCTGCTGCGGTTCCTGTCTGCAGCGTGGTGTGTGTCTTGTCGTGAGCTGTCTTGGGTTTGGAGAGAAGAGACGGGCCAGGCTTTATTGCTCGAGCTTGACAGATGAAGCATTGGACTGGGCTGGATGAGTGAGTGAGTGAGTACCTGCTCTGCTCACCTACATACGAACTGGGTTGGCGCATAATTGGGCTCGATACCTCTGCCAAACATACACACTTTTGCCCTGATCCAGCACATCTTGCATGCCATTCCGCAGTGAGCCAGTGCACAAATTAAGTCTCGCGTGGTGCAGCCACTGCCGGGCAAATCCAAACGGGGAGTGAAAATCTGTCTTCTGCAGGTGCTTACTATCCATATTGCCATAGATTCATCCGTCCGTTCATACATTTCTATTACACGCCAGGTGCAGTGTTGTACATGATTCGTATCTTACAGGCCCGTGTCTCACATGTCGGGGGGAAACTACTGCGTATTCGTCGGCTTTTTCTTTCGTGACAGCAGCAAATCTCTGACACCCGCCTCGCCCAGCCGCGCCTCCATGGCGATCCACTCGCTCATCTTGTTCAACCTGTTTTTCGTTGGATTCTCCACGATGCCCCCGAGGATTTCCAGCACCTCGGGATCTGAGTACGTGGCCGCCGGCGTAGGTGGGAAGATTGTATCCCACGACTGGACCTTCTCCATGACCCTGGAATCTGTCGGCGAGATTCCGTAGCTGTCATCCGTACCCCGCACTGCCCACTGCATTGTCCGTCGTTCAGGTTTGACGTTGAGTTCATCCAGTAGCCTTCCGGCCTTGGTGGGCATGATGGGCTGTAAGAGGATCCCCGCTATGCGGAGCGCCTCGATGGAATTAAATACAACCCAGTTGAGGACAACGCGGAACTCCGGGGCGTCTGTCTTCTTCGCGATACTCCAGGGCTCTGTATCGGAGACGTAGCGATTGGTCTGCAAGCACTAAATGTTAGCGGAAGTCAACTGAGCGAGCCGCTTCTAGGCTCCAAAGTCTAAGAAGCACGAACCTCTCGAAGCAGGCTGAATATCTCATTGATAGCACCGGCGGGGTTGTTGTTGTCCATTTCTTTCTTGTAAACGTCGAGCACACCGTCAATGTGTGGTTCCAGCGATGAATAATTATAGCGCGGATCTGATAGATCAACCATGTGCTCGTTCTTTTGGAAGTCGCCCGCGAAGAAGCTTTCGATAGCGTCCCTGGTCGACCATCTGGACGAGCTCTTAGGTCGGCAAATTCTGTAGTACAAGTTGCCGATATTTGCCTGCAGTTCCTTCAGGTAAATCATCTCAATGAGATCGTTGGAGTAGCTCGTGTCCTTGCTGAGGGATCCATTACGCATAAGAAAGTATCGTAGAGGGTCTGTACCCCACCGCTGGATGGCAAAGAATGGATTCACCACGTTTCCAACAGATTTTGACATCTTACGGTTCGACATGGTCCAGTGGTTGTGGCAGAGAATCTTCTTGGGCAAAGGAAGGTCGAGTGCCATGAGAAGAGCTGGCCAGTACACTGCGTGGAAGCGGATGATGTCCTTTCCAACAACCTGCAGATCGGCAGGCCAGATCCCCATGTTCTCCTCCTTCAGATGCCACTTATCTCCATAACCAGCAACTGTCAAGTAATTGATCAAAGCATCCACCCACACATAAATCGTATGCTTTGGATCTTCAGGGTCACTGATTCCCCAGCTTAGTCTGGCGGCAGGTCGTGTAACTGAGAGATCCTCCAGATGGTTCTCGACCCAGTTCCTAACCTCCTTCATCTTGCTTTCCGGCTGGATCCAGCCTGGATTTTCGTCGTATAACTTTAACAATTGCTCCTTGTACTTGGTGAGAGGGAAGAACCATGTCTCCTCCTCGACCCACTCCACCATACTCCCAGTCTCGGAGCTCACCATGATTTTCTTTCCCGTCTGGGGCTCGAGTGAGGCCTCTATCAAGTCATCCGGGTAGAAACACTCATCACTGACGCTATACCAACCCTTGTGAGTGCTCTTGTAAAGACCTAGTCGCTTCGGCAGACCATTCTTCAGCTGCGTCCAGAAGTGACTGACTGCCCTCTTATGTTGCTGGTTGGTCGTGCGAATAAAAGTGTCTTGCGATATGCCGCCTTCGTGGGCCAGCTTGAGGAATTTTTGCGAGTTATTATCGACAAGCTCCTTCGGTGTTACGGCTTCCTTTGCGGCTGCTTGTTGAATTTTCATTCCGTGCTCGTCGGTACCGGTGCTGAGAAAGGCACTCTTGCCCTGGAGTTGTTGATATCGTTTCAGGACATCGCAGAGGACCATAGTATAGAGATGGCCAATGTGGGGTGCTTTGACACAATATAAGCCGGTGTACAGATTGCTGATGCTACTTCATTTTGCCCATACCAGCATTGACATAGAAAATTGGAGTTGTAATATAATATGGCTTCTCAGTGTCCGCGGAGGGTTGTGACTCAGTCGTTGTATAGATCGGACGACATTGCCACGGTCTCCGAATTGACGATCTGGAGGCGAATTTCTGGTAGGAGGCTGGAGAGCTGGCGGGTCTAAGCCCCCGAAGGCTTCGCAGCACCGAGGAAACCATTTTTGGTCCCTAGAAGAGTGAGCTCTCAAGGCTTCTGTTTATGGTGCTATGAAGCTGGTCGTGATGGGCCAGTCGGGAAAATGCGACGCGATAAGATACAGTGTGAATTGTGCTGTGCGATAACTATGCCCACTTCGTCATAGGTGCCTATAATAAATAAGTTTGTCGCAAACTACCAGGACGCTCACTACCTATCCTTCATTGCAGCACGCAACAGCCAACCAGCTGTGCAGCCGTGCAGCGACGACCTCGCAATACGACGGTTACTCTCCAACATGCCTCTTCCAGACAGTGAAAAGGAGGTCCAGGCCTCGAGCGAAGGTATGATCTGGCTTTCAGCTCCCCCATCCTCGATCCTCAGTCGCGCCAAACTAATTTACCTACACAGCCGCCGAGATCTTTGTTAACAACTATTACGATGCGCTCAACCGTCGCCAACCGCTCCTTCCCTTCTATGTCAATTCAACCACCCGATACTCCATCCCAGCCGATATATCCATCAACGGGGCGCAGGTAGCAACACCTGCCGACTACTACAACCTCCTCGAGGCACAAGGCGCAGGCGTCCACTACGATGTCGAGTCGTTCGACACCCACGTCCTCAATCCCTCCTTTCAATACAACGCCCCGGAGAATATTTACGACGGCAACAAAGCCGAAAAGAGTGGTGCCCGCATGAGTATCATCGTGACCGTGATGGGTAGAGTCCAGTACGGAAAGGGAAAGGAAGCGCCACAAAAGATGTTCAACGAGACCTTTGTCCTCGTTCCGAATTGGGAGGCCTTGCAGCGAAATCCCCCCAGGGGCGTCAAGCGCTGCCTTATCATGTCCCAAAACTTCAGGGCCTTATAAATATGGCAACACATCACGAGACTGAAGGAGGAAGGGCATGTGTTTGAGGGCCAGGGGCTGCTTGAGCACAAGACAAGCCCGCATACTTGGAGCACTGGGAGTCAAAATTTCAAAGTATTCAGAATTTGGGGTTATTGGGTAAAGGGAACGGATCTCAGGCAGACGATGGCCTAGGCTGCGGCAGTGGTAGGGCGGCTAGCTTGAATTAAAGCTTCCATTTCAACTAGATAGATTTCCTGCGACAAAGGAAAGGACAAGACTAAACGAGGGTTTGGATGGCACGATCTTGATTGAGGAACAATATAACTAGCGAACATTCTCCCTGTATCATCACTGGCCTTATTACTAAATCTCACTATCCATGGTTTGTGCTTTCATCAAGAAGAACAATATCTCTTCCAGTGGACGATCATGGCGGGGCAGCCTCCAGGCCAAGGACCCATATGCCATGCACCAACCCAACACAAGTCTAGCACCGGCCGAGCTCCCCGCCATTGACACCAGTTGCTCACACTCCGAATTGAGGTCCCCTCTTCCCTGGTAGGGAACTAGGACAACCTCGCATCTGCCCACCCAAAGAGTAGAATGGCACCCAAGTCAAAAGCCAGCTCCAAGGCGGCCCCCATCCCAGAGTCAAAAGGTCAGAACCCCAATGCTCCACCTCGTGCTCGCAAGCCAGCCGTAAACAGTCGAGCAACAGCAACGCACAGCAAAGGCTCTGCTTTCTCATCCACCTACCTAGCCTCGCATTATCGCTGACATTTTGCCCAATCCTGCCTTGCAGCCGAGCCACCCCCCGAGACCGTCGGCGAGCGTTCCACCCAGCGATTCTACAAGACCAATACCCTCCAGAAGCGCTGCGAAGAAGCAGGCCTGGCCGCCCTGACGCCCGCGGAGAAGAAGACCTACAGCCACGCGCAGCTCATCATCCCCGTCTCCCAAGACCGGGTGCCGCTCTCCACCAAGGCCGAACGCGAGTACTGGAAGCAGGTTTCAAAGGAGAACCTCCCCATCCGCCGCCTGCGCCGAAACTACGATTGGGGCCAGGACAGACAGGGCCGCCAGCTTGACACCTACAAGCTTGCCGAGTTTGAGGAGCGGAGCTTGAAGCAGGCCCGCCTCGCAGCACTCGACATCGTGCACCGCCGGTTCCTCGCCAAGAGAGACAGGGCGCGCAAGGAGGGCTCCGAGCTCCCAGCAGAGGACGTCGAGGAAGAAAAGAAGACGAGGGCAGCCATGGCGGTCCTACGAAAGGAACTGTATGGGAAGATCACCGGCCCGCTCGCCCAGGACCCGAAGTGGGATGATGTGGTGCCGATTCCCCAGGCTGAGCCCGAAGATGCTCTAGCTCGTATCGCCTACCCAGATGACTATGCCGAGGGTGCGTAACATTTTGTTCAAATGAATCTTTCTCTTAATCCTCTGTTTCCGTGTGTCTCGATATCCTGTGACTTGGAGGAGCTAACGTGTATTCACAGCTGTTTCCTACCTTCGTGCTGTCATGGCTACCGAGGAGCTATCCGAGCGGTGCCTTCGTCTAACGCAGCTGGTTATTAACATGAACCCAGCGCATTACACCGTATGGCTGTACCGCTTCAGAATCGTCAAGGCTCTCGAGCTGCCCATCCTTGATGAGATAGAGTGGCTCAACAGGGTGGCTCTGCAGAACCTCAAGAACTACCAGATCTGGCACCACCGTCAGCTCCTCCTCGACTACTACCTCCCCTCCATCTCGTCGGACCCGGTATCCGTGAAGAGGCTCGCCAAGTCGGAGACCGACTTCATTTCCCGCATCCTCGAGGAGGACACGAAGAACTACCACGTCTGGTCCTACCGCCAGTACCTCGTCGGCAAGCTCGAGCTCTGGACGCCCGCCGAGCTCGGCGCCGCGCAGAACATGATCGAGGACGACGTCCGCAACAACTCGGCGTGGTCCCACCGCTTCTTCGTCGTATTCTCCAACCCCAAGGAGGCCACCCCGGGCTCGCTGCCCACGGCCACGGACCTCAAGGTGTCCGCCGCCACGATCGATCGCGAGCTCGCCTACGCCAAGGAGAAGATCGCCCTCGCGCCGCAGAACCAGTCCAGCTGGAACTATCTCCGCGGGGTTCTGGTCAAGAGCGGACGAGACTTTGCCACGTTGGACGAGTTCACCGAGCAGTTCGTGTCGGGGCTGGGCGAGGAGAGCGAGGACGTGAAGAGCTCCCACGCCCTCGACCTGTTGGCAGAGATATACAAGGCCAAGGGAGATAAGGAAAAGGCCAAGCTCTGCCTGGAGCGGCTGGCAGCGAAGTGGGATCCCGTGCGGGAGGGGTATTGGAAATACCAGATAGCGGAGCTCGAGAAGTAGATCCAGGCTGCTAAGCATTAACTCGTAGATCTGATAGTATAAAAAAAAAACTCTTAGTGAATTAGGCACCGCAAGGTGAATATGTCTACATAGGTAATTAATGTGGATTACTGTATAGCCCGGCCGATTTATCGTCCTGTTTCCCAACCATCCCATCCCGTCATCATCATCATAAGGTAATCAGCCACACCTCCTGCTATCCTCACAACTCCTCAGTTGGCACCAGTTGTACATTTGACCAGTTTGGACAACGGTGTCGTTGCTGTTTTGCTTTTTGATTATTTGGGTGCTTGTTTTTTTCTTTCCTTTTTCTTTCTCAGTAGTTTGTCGCTATATGCGACTCTCCACACGCCAGAACTTCCAGCCTTCACGTTCGCCACCATGACCGTGCACCCCCACCAGCCGCTCCACCCCCTCCGTACCCTCGGCGTTGAGGAACTTCTCTAGATCGATCTCCATGCCGCCCTGCTCGTCCTCCTCAGTACCGTTCTTGAGGACGGCGGGCCAGAGCACGCCCACGCCGTCGCCGCCCAGCGTGGTCTCGAACTTTTGGTAGTTCTCCTCCTCGAGCTGGGCCTCGAGCTTGCTGAGCCGCTCGCTCGGCAGCTCCGGCCGCAGGAGCGTAATCGAGCAGCCGCCGCCACCGGCGCCGGTCAGCTTGGTCCACCCTATGCCCTCGTGGTCGACGAGCTCGCGGATCCTCTCCAGCCTGGGGTGGGACACGCCGAGCGATACCAGGAGCCCGTGGTTGATGGTCATGAGCTCACCCACGCGCCTCAGGTCCTCCTCGTCGGTGGCGTCAAAGTCCTCCTCCTCGATCAGATCGGCGACGGTTGTCGTCACCTTACCCATGGCGTCCAGGATGGAGCCGACGAGGTCCGGGTGGGTCTTGTTGAGGGTGCCGACCTTGGCGACCTCGAAGGCCGTCGACTTGGCCTGCTTGGTGTCGACCAGCAGGAGGGGCAGCTCGGGGAAGTCCCAGAGGGGGCGGACGGAGGGGGGCTTGTCGTAGTCTGTGCGCTGGAAGAAGACGGCCTTGCCCTGGGTCGCGACGGTGTTGTCAATGCCGGAGGGGTTGCCGTGGATGCACATCTCGGACACGAAGGCCCAGCGGTTGATGCGCTCGACCTGGAGGCGCGCCTCCTCGGACGGCTGATCGGGGTGCGGGCCGGCCAGGGTCCTGACCTGGAGCAGGAGGGCGGCGGAAAGGCAGACGGATATGGATGCGCTGCTGCCCAGGCCAGCGCCGATCGGGATCGTCGATCGGAGTGTGTAGAGGCATGCTGGGAAGGACTTGGATCCGAGGGAGAGGAAGAGGTAGAGGAAGGCGGAGGCGGAGCGTTCGTGGACTTTTCGGAGCTCTTCAGGGCTGTCAGGGGACACGACGGAGATGTGTGGTTCTAGGGCGTCCACGAGGTCGGGGTCGAGCTCGGTGACAAGATCGTAGTAGGACTTCTTCTTGCCGGGTTTCTGAAACATGGACCATGGCAGGTCGTCAATGTTCCACGTGTGGACGAAGCCAATGTCAGGGAATCGCAGAGTGATTGTTCGCTTCGACTTGGACAAGGTGGTTACGTGAAGGTAGGAGCGTAGAGAGATGGCCGCCGCGATTGCTGCCTGATTCACAATGGACGTCCGTGTTAGCCAGAGAGCATCGCGGGGGAGAATTCGAGTTGGACAGCCGCCGTACGTACCCTGCCATAGACCACGGAGTGCTCTCCAAAGACAATGACCTTGCCCGGGGCTGACACCATAAAGGCCGGAGCCATAGGGTTGGAGTCCTTACGGTCCGCCTTGAGCCCGTTGATTCGATTGAGAGTGGGTGCCATGGTGGGTGCAGTTCAGGCGGTGACAGATATATGCGTGTGTTGGGTAAGGTATTCAGATCGGATCCCGTAGGTGCTTAGGTAGTGCCCCTGAAATCCGACTTCAGAGGAAATGACCGAAGTTCTCAGGGATGCGTAATTAAGAGAAGAGCCACGGAGCGGAGGAGGAGGAGGGAAAGGGCGGCGGTCTGGTGCCGCATGCAAATATGATACCGCGTCACCGACAATTGCAGTATTATGTAGGTTGGTAGGGATGACAGGTAATATGGTGCTGGCAGTGATAATAGCATACGATCGGAATCCCCCGAGTCCAGTGCCTGGTTCGGGATCTATTACTATGACCCTCCAGCGATTGGCGGAACCCAGTGGCTGATCCGGAGATACTACGGGCTAAAATGGGACAGCGCGAGCGAGCCATGGCGACACCACTACGAGGAAGCCAAGGGCGACACGGCGGGTGTGATTTCGGGAGACAAAGCATCGACCCGACTTATTTAGTCCAGGGGCGCTGTTCGGATGCAACAGAGTCCCTCTGCATGCCGATTATTGATGGCTTGGGTGCTTGGCCCAATGGCATCCTGGGAATCGAGGAGCGAGCCCACCAACCCTGTCGGTGCATTGTTTGGCCATGGATGCCACAACGGCCTTCTAGGATGCCCGACTAGTGTACCTCGGGGTCGGGACGGCCAGAGTGGTCTGGCTGACAGGGGGTGAGAATTGCTGTTTCAACAACCGTCCATTCGCACAGCACTGTGGTGTTGCACGGCAGGACACGCCTCCCATCCACTGGTGGTTGGCGGGCGTCCAACGCTGCGCTTCTCGGCCGCTCCACGAATTACCGGCTGGATGGCCGGCCATAAGCACGGGCGGATGACCCCTCCCCTGTTGGGCCATGGCTGCCTACAGCTAGCAGTCAGCTACAGGCTGGCACAGTGCTAGCTAGAGCGCGTCACCGTACATACATACGTTAATATACAGCCTCCCAGCCGCACACTACGCCCGCCCATGTTACGCCTGGCTCACGCTGCACTTCTTCCTCCTCCTGCATTCACCTCATCCTGTAATCATCAGGCCAGTTCTCTCTCCTTCTATCCAACATCCGATAGTTCCCAAGTCCCGCGAGGCAAATGTCTTCCGCCATGGACCTTGATGATGCAACCCCGCCAAAGTGCTTCATCAAGGAGCTACCTCTTGAGGTGCTCCTGCGTATCACAAATTCCTTGAAAACCGAGGAATTGGGCAATTTCCGCCTGACTTGCCGGGGAATCGAAGGACTGCTTCATAACTCATTTGCCCGCGAGTTCTTCTCTTGCAAACAGTTCATGATCTCCGACTTCAGTCTACAGGCACTTATCGACATTTCCAAGAGCCGAATGGGCCGTCACCTCACCAAGCTCCAGATTGGCTTTGAGCAGTTCATGCCACCGCATTCAATCTTTGCACACACTGTACAGATGCGTGCCCGGGAGTACAGAATGCGAGATGTTGAGGACATCATGTTTTATCCCAACCGCGCGGCAGAGCTCTACGGCAACCAGTGCACCCTGTGGGGCTCCGGTGCTGCTAACGAGATGCTTACTGAGGCCCTTCGGAACCTGGAGAACCTCCGGGATGTGGTGCTTCGGGACTGTAACTCCAAGAGAAGGAGCCGCGACTGGCCCGCTAACGAATGGAGGAGCTACGGAATTACCACTGCCTTGAGACAGGCTGGTGCGCTGGTCAGCCTCGGCTCGCAGAGCGCCTCTTACCAGTTCGCAAACATCGCAGACCAGATCTTCAGCCTGGTTCTTCATGCCCTGGGCAGAGCCAATGTCAAGCCCAAGGGAATCGAAATCATTTGCAGACACTCATGCCATCTCAGCGACTACGCCTTTGCACTCCCCAAATATTCGAAGCCAATCGTTGTCCCTGTTATAGAGGGCTTGGAAAAGCTGCATATCACAGTGGACGGGATTGAGGGCACCCCGGAAAACATCAACAACGTCGAGACGCTCTTTGAGAGGTTCATATACCACGCCAAGAATCTGCAAGATCTTCGTATCAATGGCCCGACGGGACGAAAAGGTAGTCTTCGTCCACTCCTCAAGTGCCTGGGCAATACGACACCAGATGCAGCGGATCAAGGCATTGTTCAATTACCAAAGCTCAAAGCTCTTAGTCTTGGCTTCATGGAATCCGAATCGGATCTATACCTGGCGGTAGCCGAGAAGTTTGCCCCCACACTCGAAACGCTCGAATTGTGGAAGGTGACGATGCGCCAGTCCGCGCAACTCAGAGAATCCAGGGCTGATCTCGATACGGACGATGATGTTGTTGCTTGTCGACACTTCTGCAAGAAACTTTTGAAAATCCCAAATCTCAACCTTCATCATTTGGCGATCGGCTGTTTGGCAGAAGTAGACCACCGAAATGACGTGACACCTCTTGGTGTTCAGTTCGATGGAAAGGCTCAGATAAAGTACATTGGTATTGACTGGCGACATTTCCTCAAGGCCCTAATTGAGTCGATTGGCCTTGCTCCTGGAAACCAACAATCGCGGCAGCCAGACGATAATTTTGATGATGATGATGGTGGTGAGGATGAAGACGAGGATGTAGATGGCGATGACAACTACTGAGGGATATCGGATCAGGGAGTTTGCACAAGAATGAAGGTTCAACGAATCCAGGATTTTGATATTATCGCAACCAATCAGTTTGCTATCTTGCGAGCAAGTAGATTCATACGATCGTTTTACTCATGGTGGAGGGATCTTTTAAAGGCTTTTTTCTCTTTCTTTATTCACGAAGCACAATAAATAAACGACTTGATAATCCACCAATCGATGAAGTGTTTGAGCGCACAGAGGGTAGAAGAGAGTACATAAGGCTTGAAACATGCAATCCTACAAAGTTCAAGTTGTCTGTAGCTTTAGCACAAGCCCAGGTAACGAATTGGTCTACAAGACCCAGACCGACGTTATCATCAAGAGCACAATTGAGGTCGGCAGCCTAGAGGCGAGCTTCAGACACCCCCACAGACCAGGCCATTGCGTAGTCATTCTGAAAACCACCATGCAACAGCACAATGTACAAAGTGTGAGGATATGGTCTATTCGCCTTTACAATCCTTCACTTCCTAGACTCCCTCAATGTATTTCCAGGCAGCAACCACGTCCCAACCTCCCGACTTCGGGAGGGAAGCGACAGAATGCATGAGCTGGCGGATACACGTGATGTCGTGCCACCCTCGCGATATGGCCCGGTCCCACTTGACGTGACGTTGGGCAGGGGCCGCTCGCTTGCAATCGTGCTCGCTCCTTCCTGGCGCGCGCTGGTGCCTGCGCGCCAAGGCGAGCTAAGCCGAAACGAAGCAGCTCCAATCCCCCCGGGTCCAGCTCTCTCAGCCCAGCCAGGCCAGTCCCATTTCGTTCATGACTCTCGCAGTGTGAGGATTATGATTCCCGGCTGGCCTGTGTGGGCTGACAACCTAAAGTCCCAACAGACATAAATAAAGCTGCCAGCCAGCTTCAGGTCAAAAACAATCCTGCCCAGTTCAACCGTTTCTCCCTCACTAGCCGTGCTACTCGTCTTGTTCTTCGCAATCCATTGGCTCAGGAAGCACCTCTCTAGTGTTTATCCTGCCTCGCCTCATTCCTGCGTCCAGCCTTCCGTACCCTGTAGTTCGCTTCGTTTCATCGGAGCTCGCAACAACTCGCAACAAATCAATTGTCCGGAAAACACGTTGCTTATTTCTCACGAGAAATTGAGCGTGGCCAAAAGCGTCAAACAAAAACAAACAAAGCCTCGATCTTTGGATCAGGTTATCAATCGTTGTGGCATACTTAACCAGCTGCATCCTGCCTCAGCCCCTTTCACTTTCCGGTAACGGCGGACTTCTTACTTGAACCACTCTCCCAACATTTCCCTCACTTATTCATATCAAAATCTAAACCATGTCCACTCGACGACGAGCTGCGGCGGCGGCTGCTGCTGATTCCACACCCCAGCCGTTGGACGGCTACAAGATTGTTCTTAGCGGCAAGTTCAACCACCTGGGCCACACCCAAGGATCTCTGGAGAAGCTTGTGCGCACGCTGGGCGGAAGCACCCAAAACTCTGTCACCGGCACCACCACCCACGTTGTCTGTACAGAATTCGACTATAACAGCGGGTCTAAGAAGATCGATGCCGCCAAAAGCAGTGACAAGCCCCTTCTTGACCCTCAATGGGTGATTGATGCTGAGGGCAAGGCCTCCGCGCCTGATGAGGCCTCGTACTCATGGGCTGCCAGGGCCAATGCGCCCCAGTCCAATGGTACAGATTCTCAGAAGAGAAAGCAGGATGATGTGGACGAGTCTCAGGGCAAGAAAAAGACCAAGGCAAAAGCCAAGGCCAAGGCTGTTGATGAAGATGGAGATGAAGAAATGGAGGATGAGCCTCAGCCTGCTAAGACTAATGGAAAGGCGAAGGCTAATGGGAAAGTAAATGGAAAATCCAAGGCGAAAGCCAAGGCTGAGCCTGAGGAGGAAAAAGAAGAAGAGGAGGAAGAGGAGCAGCCCAAGGCAACAACAAAGGCCAAGGGAAGGTCCAAGGCGAAGACCAAGCCCAAGTCTGAGGAGGAAGAGGAGGAGGAAAAGCCCAAGGCAATAAAGGCTAAGGCTAAGTCTAAGGCCAAGGCCAAGGCTGAGCCCGAGGTCAAGGATGATGAACTTGAGGAGGAGAAGGTAGTCGCTGAAGGCCAATTCATCAAGAAGAAAGGCATTGAGATCCCAGTCGACAGCCACAGCCCTCATTTCTTCGACCACAAGGTCTACGTGGATCCTGACTCGGGTATGATCTGGGATGCTTCGCTAAATCAAACCAACGCATCCAATAATAACAACAAGTTCTACATTATCCAGGCAAGTCCCGAATACCCTCTTCACAATATATACTCTTGAGCTAACCATGTCTCCAGGTATTGTATAACCCAAAGAAGAAAAACTACAAAACCTGGACCAGATGGGGTCGTGTTGGCGAGATTGGCCAGTCCGCAACACTGCCAGAAGGCACTCTTGAGAATGCCATTAAAGGCTTCGAGAAGAAGTTCAAGGATAAGTCTGGCCTTCCCTGGGAAAAGCGAGGTGACAACCCCAAGCCAGGCAAGTACGCTTTTGTTGAGCGAAGCTATGATGATGACTCGGACGATGATGAGGGTGATGCGGACAAGGATGACTCAAAGAAAGTTAAGAAAGAAGAGGATGATGCTCCCCCAGAGTGTACTCTCGAAGAACCGATCCAAGACCTTGTGAGGCTCATCTTCAACCAAACGTACTTCCAGGCAGCTATGAGCTCGCTGAACTACGATGCAAACAAGTTGCCCCTTGGCAAGCTGAGCAAGGCCACGATCATGCGTGGTTTCCAACAACTCAAGGAACTTGCGGCTCTGATCGATGATCCCAGTCTCCCCGGCAACAAGGAGCAACTGTCGAACACCTTCTACTCTCTTATTCCTCACGCATTTGGCAGGAACCGCCCCCCAATCATCTCTGACAACATTTTGCTCAAGAAAGAGATTGAACTTCTTGAAAGTTTGTCTGACATGAAGGACGCTGCTGATATCATGAAGATTGATCGGAAGACCGTGGACACAGTACATCCTTTGGACCGCCAATTCCAGGGTCTTGGCCTCAACGAGATGACCACCCTCGACCACTCCAGCGTAGAATTCAACTCTCTGAAGGACTATCTGTGCGAATCTCGCGGCGCCACACACAGTTTCGACTACAAGGTAGAGCAAATCTGGCGCATTGAACGTCAGGGAGAAAAGGATCGCTTTGACCAGTCAGAGTACGCCAAGATCGATTCCGATCGTCGTCTGCTTTGGCATGGATCTCGCTGCACAAACTTTGGTGGTATTCTCAGCCAGGGTCTTCGAATTGCCCCGCCTGAAGCACCCGTGTCCGGATACATGTTCGGCAAGGGTATTTACCTGGCTGACATGTCCTCCAAATCTGCGGGCTACTGTTGTTCCTATATTTCCAATGGCCACATCCTGCTCCTTCTGTGCGAAGCCGAGCTGGGCAACCCAATGCAGACGTTGACACATGCCAGCTACCAGGCTGGGGAGACCGCCAAGCAGAACGGCATGGTGAGCACATGGGGTCAGGGTAACACCGGTCCCAGCAAGTGGGTTGACGCTGGTACTGTTCACGAAAGCCTCAAGGGCATCAAAATGGTGAGTCGGCTTTGCCTTTGCCTCTTCCTTTTCCTGGCCTTTGACCTAGCATCCGTCTGCCATCCGTTCACGTTATCATACTTGCAATTACTAATACGCCTTTCCCTCATAGCCCGACCCAGATGTCAAGGCCGGCCCAACCAACGTCCAGAACGCCAGCCTTTACTACAACGAGTACATCTGTTATGACGTTGCTCAGGTCCGTCTTCGATATCTCTTCCGCGTCAAGGTGTAGGGTGCATCTGCGATGGTGGCATTCGTCTTGATGTCTTGATGATTGAAGAAGAGTATGATGGGTGAAAAGTAAGGTTGTTCCGACCTGGCGTTCGGCGATAATGGTGAATTTTGATGCGAATAAAGTACGTTACCTTGGGACTTGGTTTCAGTCATGGAAAGCTCAAGGCTTGATTTCAAACTTGGAGAATCTGGCACTCGATTTCTACCTTTTACAAGATGCGTGTATTGCCCAGAAAAGAAAATTAAGCCTCGATTTCTATATTGACGTTGCTTTCGCTCTCATAAAACCCAAAAAATGACGTTCCCCATAAATGTTTTCCGACCACAGCTGGGGGTTGTCGTACAATCGTTGATATGTAAATATATGTACATGAATAGCTGTCATCGCTCTGTTAGTTGATAGTTGATAAAACTCGTAGGCAGTAGTCATCATGCCTCTCAAGTATGTAAGTATGCTATATAAAAACCCAGCTGCGTTTCACAGCTTGCTGCTTGCTATACTCCAACTCCTGAACCACCATTCATGAACTCGTTGGTTCTCCAGTCGCCGTTGTTAGCTCCCCAGATGCTCACATCAATGCCCAGGGAATAGTCCAATCCATGATCCAGCCCCAGACCATCCATTGCACCTTCAAAGGCGTTGTTGAGTTCTGAAGGTCCACCAGGTGCGGCAAGTGCATGAGTGGACGGGGTGGCACCGAGTGTCTCAGAGTGGGCATCGTTGAGAGTAATATCAACGTCCCCGTCTCCAGTTGGCGGCGTCCAGGCATCAGTCATGATGGCTTGAGGCACTGCAGGTACATTATTTTGTACTGGGGGGAAATTATCGCGAGGGAGGTTTGCACGGTTGGCGGGGGCAGATGTGGTTGTTGAAAACCCTTCGTCGGGAACCTCGATATCCTTGAAGAGAGAAGGCCGAGATGAAGGAGTGGCAGCGTGGTTTGCTGCGGGCCTTGGTCGGCTATTTACGTTGGCAATTGTGTTAAGGTCGGGGGGTGTCATGCGAGCAGGCGAAGTTCGAGGCCCAAGTCCCTGTGCAATGACCTTCTCAATGTCGGATCTGATTCCAGCGGCGGCAGCGCCCATGCAGCAGTCTTTGACAGCTTGCAAGCAGACTTTGAAATGCTCCATGACGTTCTCTTGAGTGAGGTTGAGATTGCCAGATTTCGCATGGTAAGCATACTTGAGCATCCTAGTGCATTGGTACGCGCAAAGAGCGAGATCGAGGTCAGCGACTGGCTTTGCATGGAGCTTCTGCATTGACAGGAAAATATTAGCCATTGCAATGGCGTGGTCGACGCATTGTCGTTGGCAGTGTTCAATGAAGCTCTCGTCAAAGTTCTCAAGGACAGACCGCGACAAAGCTTCTCGTAGTCCGACAAGACCGAGACGATACAGATCGCAATGGCATTGGCGCCACCATACATGTATCATCAAGAATACACAGATTCTAGGAGAGTAAGCGCGGAGTTGTAAAGATTTCTCGGAAAATTGGAAGGATGCAGGTAAGTGGGCAGCAAAATCTTCGAGCTCGCCGTGAAGAGAGAGGACGCTGGTCTGGAGGGTTCTTGGATTCACATCGCGATTCCCCAGAGCCTCTTTAGTGAACTCGCTGATCTTGTGACGTATATGTTGGATGCGTATATGAAGCGCAACACTACCAATGTCCTCAGCCTGTGGTGATCGCTGGTGGTCGGGATCCGGGATGAGCTTCTCCGTTTCCTGAGGGAGATCGAACTCAAAGTTTCGTTCGTTGCATGGAAGCCCTAAAAATAGTCTCTCGGATCGCCAGAGGGAATAATCCCGGTTGCCGCCTGAAATTCCGGCATCGATGCAGTATATTGCCCACATAAGCCGTCTTCTGGATTCCTGGGCAAGAAAACAGACGTTGGGTGAATCGTAGTTGAGCCTCAGAGCCACAGCAAACCGGGATGCAATACCGAGAAGAAAGAAGGCGCTTTGAAACCGGTTTGACAAGATTCGGTATTTGATCATGAGGACAAGAGCTTGGACTTTGATGGTAGAAGGGCGAGCGTAGTCAGAAAGAATTAGAGATTCGGCTTCATCTATGCACCTGGCGCCATACGATCGTAGACCCGGCCCCATGTCTGTCAAATAGGTCGTGACACCAACCAAGGCGAGGAGAAGCGGTCTGTCGACCTTGCCTAAGTGATATTGGCCCATGAGTGATGCGCGATGCAAGAAATCGAACGAGGGGATGTGATGAACATTGCGAAAGAACTTCTCAAACGTCCGACTGATCAGAGAATCAAAAGACTCGTCCAATGAAGGTCTATTCATTCGAATATTAGCAAAGGGCTCGGGTTACCTTGGAGGGTTTAAAGGTTGTGTAGACGGTCCAGATTCTTACCCTTCGTTATTGTTGAACTGGTTTGGTGTCGTCGGGTCCGAGATGTCTGGGAAGCCCGTGTCGCTATTATTATGCCCATCGTCTCGGTGGCTCTCGTCATCGTGACTCTGCGGGCTGTTCCGACCGGCGCTCATGCTGCTCTTCGTCGACACTCTAGCGCGCTTAGTTGGACGATACACACACTCAATTGCTTGGGCCCGGCACCGATCGCAAGCGGGCATGTGACCTGAGCAGCGAGCTTTGCGGCTATGACAGCTCAAGCAGGCTTGTTTCACTCGACGCCTGGGGAGCGAGACGGACCATGCGGCAGCGGTTGCGGCGGGGTCAGACGACTCATCATCGTAGGAGCAAGGAAAGCCAAGGCGCTGGCAGTTGGAACAAATGGGCCGGATGCCGTTGCATCGGACCTTGCGCGCTCTACAAGTTGTGCACGTGGACGACGATTTTTTCGGCGGACGATTTGGCGATGGGTAGGCACCCGACGTTGTCGGCAAAGGCTGCTGCGACTGGTCCTGCTGTCGATCCGAGGGAGCAGAGTCTTGGGGGCGGGCTATCGTGTCCGAGTTTGTCGGGGGTGTGGTGGTGATGTTGGTTGGTGAAGTCGAAGACAAGTCCATGACCGGTCACGCATGGACACACAAGGCTCGCCAACCAATCGCTCTGAACGGTTGCTCGGAGACAGGTCGTACGATTCGCGCCAGTGAGCGATATGCTCTGGTTCCTAGGTCGACTGGAGGGACAAGAATATCTCGAGGTTGAGTTTGAGAGCAACAGAGAAGAAGCCTAGCGCGGGTCCGGTGAGTCGTATGTCGGTCTGGCTGGTCGAGTGGGCAAGAGCGGAGGATAGACGTTTTTGGCAGTTGTAGCAGAGAAAGGCGCAGGTGCTTAGATAACGGGTGATTCGCAGGCGATTGAGGGCAGAATTAGAGTTGCGGAGGGATCGCAGGGACGGGAAACAAAACAAGAGTGTATGTAGAGTGTGAGAGTGGTGCGTTCCAACCGACGACGCTTTCCCTTTCCACTCCCAAGCGATCGGTTGCGATGGTTTTAGTTTCAAGTGGGCGACTCCCCGATGGGAAGCGAACTCCACTTTTTACCTAAACGGCCGCCCCGACAGCCCGCTGGCAGATCTTTCATCAGCCTCGAGTCGGTATACAGCTCGGTGCCTGTCCCTTACATGGAGGCAATGAGCAGAGGCATTGGGGAGCATGAGGGAGCAGAATGGCCGCGGGCAGGAGCGCCGTCAAGTAGGTATTCGACAAACTGTGAAGAGGGCGCGCTCTAGTCCAAGATGCAAGTCCAGGCAGCACGTCTATGTGCCAGCAGACCTGCATGTACCCAGTACCTAATCGTTGGAGTGCGCCATCGCACCAGAACGGGGTTGATGCAGGCGGCGGTCGAGCAGGTCCGGATTAAGGTGAGACGAGACAGGCCCAGACAGGCAATCAGGCGTGTGTTGCACCGCTACGGTCCCCTACAGGCGCCACGCTGCAGCAACCACCAGCCATAGCGCTGCGTCGATGACGATGAGCCCAAGTACCCAGGTACATGAATGTAGGGTGTCGATTTCGGATCTCGGAATGCCAAGTCGGCAGACCTCTGTTCAGTCCCCCACAAACGCGGCTTATTTCCCCAGCATGACGCTCCGACAGCCGCCCGACGGCCGCTATATTATCATCCTGTGTCCCCTGCACCCTCGCTTTTCGTAACCTCCCGCGAATGAAAGGTTGAACATCATCATGCCAGCAGCGCCGCTGCATTGAACGGTCAGCCAAGCAGCGCCGGTCTAGCTGTCTTTGCTCTTCCCTCTCGTCTCCTTTTTCCTTTGAAACGGAGAACTGGCCTCTTGGCTGTCCGATTGACGCACCCAGAGATACAAGCGACAGGGTTTCGTCTCTGTTGAGCCAATGCGAGCATCCGCACCAAGGATCGCCGAGCCACAACCAGCAGGTCATTCGGATATCAGATTTCTACGTTTCGCCGAATGCGCCAAAGTGTGGTCGTCATATAGCGTTCTCGAACCGACTACTGGGACACTATTACTCAATGAAACTTTTGTCTGCACGGTAGCCAGCACCGCAACGGCAACAACCAAGTAGACACGCAAAAGTCCCCGCATAGATCTAGTATTATCTGCTGCATCTGGGGGAGGCAGGTGATCAGCCGTCGCCTAGGCCAATCTCTATTCCACAAGCTCCAGAAATTAGGTGAATGTGGCTGGCCTAACTTAAACCTTTGGAAAGTTCAAGTCCACCCTCAGTACGGAGTAAGTGCTGACCCAATTCTTGTGGGATGTGGATCGGCAAAATGGAACATTTGGGCCAGGACCCTGGCTCATTATGCCTTCATAAGGCTGAGGTGCTTGTGCATGTTTGGTGCCCGTTGCATTTCACAGTGTGACGCTGCACCTGTTCCGCCGTTGTCAGCTCGAGCGGCTGCCACAACCGCTATGCAACACAATCCCATTCTAAATAGCCGAGTCAGGCAGCTCTTCCGAGCAAACTCCGTCATCAGTGAAGATGTTCATCTCGTAAGAGGCCTTCTTAAAACAGAGGTCATTGAATAAAACAATCGCGTATAGTTTTGTTCTAAGCTATTCTTTCTAGTATTCACCCACAACTACTTGGGTTTTCATCCATGCCGTCGATTCATCATAATCTTGATAACGATTTCAAGCGACCAGTTTCTGAACCGCATCATTGCTGATTATGCTGCCGGGTTCGTCCGATACCAACGCCAAGAACGTGCGATATGATATGTCACGTATTTCTTTTCTCGATTTGTCGCAAAACCAATAAACATTGGCGTTGACGAAAAGACGCAAGTAAATCCATGCAGCATCAGTGCGCCCGTGTAAGACGGGCGCACTCGCCAAGAGAAAGACACTGCCACCACACCACAATCTCATCATGCAGACTTTGGTTGAACGGCGAACCCCTCATGGAGTCTTCTTTCCCGTGCTATATCAACGCGGAAATCCCCCGCTTTCTCAATTGATTGACCACCAGCCATTGACTGGAATCATGCTTCATGATGTTCAATAGCGATGAGCAAGCCCCCCCACCATACGACTTCATAGACAAGACCATCACACCCCCGCGAAATCCATTGGCAGAATCTCACCAACATCAATTCACATCGAGGAACGTAGCTAGTGTCTCACCAGCTCTTGCAGCTCCTAACAACCCCATCCTCCTCGCTCGTCTTTTTGGCACAGGCCTAAGCACAAAACTAATAGTCTCCACCCGAACATCATTGGAGGCCTACAACGCCATAGTTGGCTCACATCTCTGGCAAATACACGGTCGTGACTCTTCAGTCATGAGCGATGGTGTCCCCACACAGTTCACGACCAAAATCAGCTCCTCATATCACGGGAACCTGGTCAGTGCCTTGGTCGACGACGACGCGGAAAATCCCAGGTTCATCATCATTGACGGGAACACAGGCGACCTCGTACACCGATTCAAACTACACGAGGACTGTGGCGACTTTTCCTGCCTGTCCCATACGAAGTCCATGCTTGGGATATTCTACTGGACGGGGAATGAGGCGAGCCGTATCATCGCACAGCCCATCAAGCCGATCGATGGGGCGCAACCCAGTTCATTCTGGGCCGAAAAGGTTCCCGCGGGCCGCTGTGTCACCATGGCGTTCGCGCCGGATGAGAGGCACATCATCGTTTGCCAGGGACCTGACGTCCCCCCAGCTAGCGGTATTGGTGATATTGATACCCGGAGGCACGGGCAGATGGGCAAGAGCTCCGAGAAGACTGACTCCGGGACAAAGAAGGACGCAAGCCGGAAACCCAAGAACACCGACTTCACTGTCGACATCTACGTCTACAACTTTGCCAGGGGGGAGTGTGTCCGCCGGCTCACCTTCCCCGACAAATCTCCAGGTTTCATGGGTCCATTCCAACGACCCGCATTCACGTCGCAGTTTCACTTCCCCAATCAGTACAACTGGCTAGTCTCGTTCCCCGACTATGGCTCCGTCAGCGGTGCCGAAACGATGGCAAGTATCCTTGCCAAACAGAGTATGGCCGGTAAGATGCGGGCGGAACTCCATTGGTCGCTTCTGGGGCTTGACAGTCAGACAGGCATATGGACAAAATTAGAGGAGAAGCCCACGGTGCTGACAACCTCGTGCAAGACACTGATCATCACCAAGTGGCAGGAGGGTTTTACGGGAGCCGGTCCGGTAACAGAAACGTTGACGGTTGGGTCGGGTGATAGTTGGAGTTTGTCTCCGGATGGTACCTACTTGGCAATCCAACGGGCTGGTGGTGTTGAGATTAATATTATAGCCTTGAGGAGGTGCATTTGATGAGAACCCGAAGCCCTTCCCAGGTCTTTTGTTTCGAACATTAGCATTATACCCCCACATGAAATAGAGTATACTAAGAAACATTTCAATACAGCTTGAAATTGTCAGTAAACTGGATCCCGTTATCACCAAGTAGCCCTCGAGACTCGAAAATGACACTAGGACTTGAGCCCCGAAAATAAGGGTTGACTCGATCATTGGGTATGAGCCACAAAGATGATAATCATGGCTACCAAATTTGGGTCTGATAATCCCCAGAGTTGCCCGGGACTGTACATTTTGACACAGGTACACAATCAGGGCCTGGGACAGTTAGGAGCAGAAAGCCGTGTTGAGTCTATTTGAAAATAGCGATTGAAGCGGCGGCATTCAACATGTTTGTCGGTTCTTCAGCGGAGGGGTAGCCATCTGGCGCAAGTGTCTTGACTCGAAATTTCTTTTCGTCTCTATTCGAGCATGGCTTTGCAAGCACATGAAATGCAAGGTATCCCTAGACGCCCAGTTCGTGCACGTAAACCCCACCACTACCGCAGCCGAAACACACAAGAGATTCCCTCCGTCCGGACAGCTTTGCTCCCTCCTGTTAATATACCCATTCCATTTTTTCTTTTGTTTCCCGCTTAAGCCTTCTGGGGCACCTCGGTGATGGTCAGAGCTATTGATGGATCTTTGTTAGCGATACGTCGCAGTTCGAAGTGCGGCCAGCCTCTCCCAAGGTCGACGCGGGCCGCGCAAAGGGGGAGGGATGCATACTAGGAGGCAGGCTCTGCTTGAGCTTCTCGGCCTTCTCAGAGTCCTTGAGAACCAGGGTGTAGAGGTTCTTCTGGCATCGGACCTTGAACTTGACGTTTCCGACCTTCTTGTTCTTCTTGATCCGGGCGGCTGTTGGTCAATGTTAGAAATTTCGTCCATCGCTTCTTCTCGACAGGGGTTCATCTCTCGATAGGTTGGTGTGACATACAGGAGGCGTCCTTCCGACGGCAGATCTCGATGAACTAAGAGAACAAATTAATTTTCGATCTTGCGAGAAAAGGGATAGAAGAGCAGGAAGCAATAAAACAAAGGGCCGGTTGAAGCAGTATCCCATTGAACGACTTACCTTCTTGATATCAGCGACCTCACGAGGCATTTTGGCGGTTTGTTCGGGTTGACGGTTGAACAGGGTCTTGTCAATGAAGCGGATGGCGATTTTCGATCAGTTGTGATTTTGAATAGTTGATTTTGTGCGTCGGCTGCCACTGGGGCTGCGCGCACGGACCATGTACGGATGTGGCTCGAGATGTGGCTGGAGCGTGCCACTAGCCACAAATGGACAGAACCACGTCGTCACCAAATGGGCTGTGGCGTCATCACGGGTGCTTGAACCGCCCATCTTATATGGACAGATTTCAGTCTCGATTGACAAGACATAAATAAAGTAGCACCAGTTGCTAGTAATTCTGTGCTTTCTTTCTTTCTGATCTTTGACAGAAGTATCGAATCAGCTACCCTCTAAGGCACACTTATTTGTGTGTCTTGCAACCTTAGACAAGATGCCCACTCCGCTGGATAACATGATGAAGTCAAAGGTGTGTTTTATCAATCTGATGCGACTATACGCCTATATAACGCATGCTAAATCGAAATGAAGAACATGGTCTTAGGTATATATCACACCAAGGAGCTCCCTCGGAGCGCCATGCAGGAATGTTTTCGTCGTCATTAACTGAGCACTCTGTAACAGCCTTTGGTGGAGCTGTCGCGGCAGCAGCAGTTTGGAGTATTTGGGGCGGCGATATGTTCCCTGCCGAACCAGACCCCAAGGGGAACCCTGAAGAATGGACGAGGGAAGAGATGAGACGGTGGTTGGCAGCTGTGAGAAGCCTCTGCTCCCTTTCGAGGTCTTGGCTAACACATGATAATATGACCAGAGAAACCTGTTCCCGGGTGCGAATGACACCAGGGAGGAGCTGTTGGCCCGTGTGTTGGCTAACATGAGAATCCCAAGGCCTTGATTAAGGCCTGCCGGTTGTGAGATATATCAGTTTGGGCAGTGGTAGAGGAGGAAGCATGTTCATAAACCATAAAAATACCCCAATGCATTATTGTTCATTCTAGTCACTGGTGTTGAGCTAATTCAGCCTCTATCTTCAAGATTTTAGCAGGTTGACAGAATGACTCGCAAGTCTAGGGAGAGCCAACTTCCTAGGAAGTTAGGCTCATCAGAAATTTGCCGTTGAAATTATACGACAGAGGCAATTCTCCGCTGATGACCAGGGGTGCTGAAGACGTGGAATTCTTCCAGGTTTATAGGCGCCCAACCGACTTGGGATGCCTGTTCTGCACCTGCATTAGCCCATTTGGTGACGAAGACCAGGGGCAAGGAAAAGACTACCCGCTACAGCAATCAAAATGAAGGCAAAGCAGAGACATTAAGCGGGCATCGAGTATCTTGGCTCAGACTTAGCTGACCTCATTGGTATTTAGGTGATGCAGGCGGAAATGTACTGCAAGGGCGAACTCAAGCCGCAGTGACAGGCGGCTGTCAGAAGGTCTCGGAGGCCAGACCCTCAACAAATACTGGAGGTTCCACCCCACTACCCTTGGCTGATTGCCTGTTTCAGCAGGCACGTGCCTCTGGACGGGGTTGCGGCGCATTGCGCTCTGTCGTGTCCGTGCTGTAGGCCAGCCACGGAATTCCTGGCCGTACCTTAGTGGCACAACTCAACTGGGGACCTGTCGCCTTGCATTTCTTCCCGCTTCTACTTTACGTATCCATCCCTACCTACGTGCTTTTTGCGGGTGCGCACGCTCAGACCATTCCTAGATGTCTGCATCACCAACGGCGACACAGATGGAGACACCAGCCTCATTGCCTTTGCCGTTCCACTGACCTGATCGCGGGCCGCTCGACTCTACAGCAGGCGGCAGAGGCCCGTCCATTGGTACTGGTACCCCCGCGACGTCATCGGTCTGTCCACCTTTTGGGGCGCACAGGCGATTGCCGGATTGCCCAACCCGCCGCCGCTGCTACCACCACTGAGACCACAGCCACCACGACCACCACCCTCACCATGGCGTTTCTCGAGGACCCCCGCCTGCGCCAGCGATGGAACCAAATCGCCCACGACGCTGAGGCCGTCACTGAAAATGCCGCCGCTGGCATCTGGTCCTTCTCGCATAATTACATCAACCCCTGCCTCGGCTCCGTCGCGAGCTCCATTGAGCAGTGCACCAGCGTCTGCCTCGGCAACCCGGAGGAGCGCCGTCGCCGACGGCGGGAGCGCGAGCGCGGGGAGGCAGCCGAATCCAACTTTGACTTCTACGATGACTGGTACGAGGAGGAGGAGCAGGGCGGCATCCTCGGCGGATGGAGTACCGAGGATTGGGACCGATTGCTGGCCGGGACGGGAAGCCAGAGGAGGCCGCATGGCAGGCAAGAGACGACGGAACAACCGCGGCGGAAGAGAGGCATGAGTTATGGGACGCGAAGTGGGAGGAGAAAGCCGAGCGGCGCCCAGGACCCGACCATCATCCCCAGCTCGCAACCTATTGGGTTTCTCAGCAAATTCCCATGGAAACTGGGTGGTACGCTGCGGTATAAGCCCAGTGCAGCGGATCTTCAGGAACACCCGGGGAGACCAGGCGGCGCTGAATCAGAGCCATTGCTGGGCTCCGATTCATCATCCGACTACGGCGAGATTGTCGTCCCGCGAAAACGAAGCGGGACGACCGGGTCGGGCGATACATCAGACTCATATCGCTCCAGGGGCGACTTGTTCCCCAGTGATGGCGAAGGGGAAGAGGATGCGATCCCTCTGGACGATGAAATTACATATGATATGGTTCGCAAAGATGACCGGAAAGCCAGAAGGAAGAGCAAGGGAAAGCGGCCTGCTCTGGACGGCTCGCGGACCGTCTCGAGGAGTACATTAGGTACGCTGGCTTCATCTGCGTCACGAGATTCGCTTCGGCTTGTACGGGCGTCCACTGGATCACTGCCCCATACTGCGGAAGTGGACCATGTTCCATCATTAAAAGATTTGGAAATCGAAGAAGACGAACTACGCAAGGAGGAGGAGGAGAAGATAATCAAACAGAAAGAGGCTGCAACGGAGCTAGCCCTAGCTCGAGGCCTACACCAATCGAGCCTCGATGAACAAACAGAAGAAGAGATGAAACCAGAGGTGACACCCGACGAGGTTGACGAAATCGAAATACCCCCTTCACCGCGATCAGCTGAGAGTGCTGGATTATCCAAACAGCGTTCGACTATAGAAGACGGGACATCTGGAACAGACTTGAGACCTGAAACAGCATCTCCAGTGGGGTCAACTGAAGACCCAAAGCATCCTCCTACGAAAGAATTTGTCCCGGCAAGATTACCGTTTTTCTAATCATGGGACCGGCCATTGACTCGGGTGCAGAAGGAACTGTATCGGCTGGAGTTTCAATTGGCTTTAATGAGTTTATTAGATCGACTCACGCATGTTGGGAAGATGTAATATGTGGTGTTATTCTCGGCGGTCAGAAGATACCAAGCTAATGATAACGTTGATGAAATACCGTTGGCTGCCATGGAGAGGTCTTTAGTGACAAATCCTCCTATTTATCTCAGCGAGTTCCTTGCCAGTATTCTCATATCTAGGTAGAGGTAAACTCCAACAATATCAGCACAGACGACAAGCGAATAATGAAAAGTGCGAGCATTTAGTCGCTAAAATCCATTGAATGCGAACAGATCCTAACGCTTGTCATGTCTTACAAGGGTGCCTACGAGCGAGATGGTACTACGAGCTGGTGTCCTCAGTAGGAAGTGCCTCGGTCTGATCTCCAAACTCCAATTCCCCCCCGCGTTTTCCTACCCCACAACTACGTGCAAGCTCCCTACCGAGGCCGCGGTTGTTCCTCAATATCTAGATATATTCCAGCCAGGCATCTTATTTTCAAAGGATAATAAGATGTAAACAACTCTATTTCTCGATTTCCTACCTCTTTTATTCCAATACAGGACTTCATCTAGTCACCGCTCACTGTCACAGCCTTCACCGTCTGTTTGGCGGCGACAACACCCCAGGGAGCAGAAGTCAGCAGATCGACGAGGGTACTCACACAGCATTCTCACGCCACCTTGGAAGAGCCAGCCCATCGCTTCACAATGGCCGGTCCCATCACCACACCGCTGACGACCCTCCTGGGCATCCAGCACCCCATCGTCCTGGCCGGCATGGCCCGGACGTCCGGCGGGGCGCTGGCCGCCGCCGTCTCCAACGCGGGCGGCCTCGGCGTCATCGGCGGCTTCATGTACACGCCGGACCAGCTGCGCGAGATCGTCGCCGAGATGAAGTCCAAGTTCAGCCGCCCCGGCCTGCCCTTCGGCGTCGACCTGGCGCTGCCCCAGGTCGGCGGCGGCGCGCGCAAGACCAACCACGACTACACCAACGGCAAGCTCGAGGAGCTCATCGACATCACCATCGAGAGCGGCGCGGTCCTCTTCGTGTCCGCCGTGGGCGTGCCGCCAAAGCACGTCATCGACAGGCTGCACAAGGCCGGCATCCTGGTCATGAACATGGTCGGGCACCCCAAGCACGCCGTCAAGGCGCTGGACCTGGGCGTCGACATCGTGTGCCCCCAGGGCGGCGAGGGAGGCGGCCACACGGGCAACAT